TGAATTCAAGGATTGGTTGGAGTATAGCATTGTGAAAGATGCTACATACTATTTATATTGTTATCTTTTTTTCTATGGGGAGCAGTGAAAGAGGCCACGATGCTTTTGTATTGGGAGGATTTAATAATTGGCGGAAGAAGGAAAGACTAAGAGATCATGTTGGGAATCATAATTGTGATCATCATAAATGTAGAGTTGCTTGTCAAAATTTGATGAATCAAGCTCAACATATTGATGTGTCTCTTTCAAAAGCAACAAGTCAATCTAAAATTGATTATCGTTGTAGATTGAACGCATCGATTGTTTGCTTGCGTTATCTCATTATGCAAGGTCTACCTTTTAGAGGGAATGATGAGTCATATGAATCATTAAACCATGGGAACTTTATTGAACTCCTAAAAGTTCTTGCTTCATGTAATGAGGAAATACATAATGTTGTGTTGGGTAATGCTTCTGAAAATCATAAACTTACTTCTCGTATGATCCAAAAAGATACAATTAGTGCGGCATCAATTGAGACAACAAATGTTATTACTGAAGATCTTGGACATGATTTTTTCTTCATTTTAGTTTATGAGTGTCGGGATATCTCAGTGAAAGAGCAAATGGGTGTTGTCATACGTTATGTGAATAAGAGTGGATGTGTTATTGAACGCTTTCTTAGTTTTGGTGTATGTTAGTGATACGGCTGCAACTTCACTCGAGCAAGGTATTTGCTCTTTTTCTCTACTTATGGCCTAAGTATTTCTAGTTTAAGAAGACAGTGTTATGATGGAGCGAGCAATATGAAAGTTGAGTTCAATGGACTAAAAAGTTTGATACTAAAGAAAAATTCTAGCGGATACTATGTCCATTGTTTTGCTCACCAACTCCAACTCACACTCGTTTCTGTTGCTAAAAAGCATACAAGTGTCGGTTCTTTTTTCAATAATATTACTCGTTTAACTAATATTGTTGGAGGTTCTTGTAAGCGTAGAGATATGCTTAGAGAAAAGCAAAATGAGAAAGTATTTGAGGGGATTGCAAGCAATGAGATTGAGACGGGAAAAGGATTAAATCAGGAGATGACTTTGAAGAGACCGGGAGACACTCGGTAGAGTTCACATTCTGGTACTCTCATAAACTTGGTGCATTTATTTTCATCTATTATTAATGTTCTTGAGTATATTGGTGAAAGAGGAAATGATGATTCACAAAGGCTGAAGCCATTGATTTGTTAGCGATTGTGAATATGTTTGACTTCATCTTTACTTTACATTTTATGATGAAAATATTGGGAGTCACACATGAGTTGTCTCAAGTTCTTCAAAGAAGGGATCAAGATATTGTTAATGCAATGAAACTTGTTAAAGTCGCTAAAGCTCGTATGCAAGCAATCAGGGATAATGGTTGGGATGATTTACTGGCTGAAGTTTCTAAGTTTTGTGGCAAATATGACATAGTTATATTGGATATGGAAGGTGTGTATGCAACTCGAGGAAGACCGAGGCGCAACATTGAAAAGATGACCAATCTTCATCATTATCGAGTTGAGTTGTTTTAATTCGTGATTGATATGCTAGCTCAAGAGCTTAATAATCGGTTTGATGAAGTGAACACGGAGCTACTCTTGTCAATGGTATGCTTTGATGCGAGAGACTCATTTTCTGCATCTGATAAAGGGAAATTGCTCCGTCATGTTGAATTTTATCCATCAGAGTTTTCTACAGTTGCTTTACGTGAACTTGAAAATCAGCTCGAGAATTTCATTTTTGATATGCGCTTAGATAAAGACTTCTCGAATGTAGCCAATATTGGAGATCTTGCTCAAAAGATGGTGTCTAGAAGAAAACATGATGTTTTTCCATTGGTTTACTTGTTGATTAAGTTGTTATTGATTTTACCCGTTGCCACTGCTACAGTGGAAAGAGCTTTTTCGGCAATGAAAATCATCAAAAGTACACTACGCAATCGAATGGGTGATGAGCTTTTGAATGATTATTTAGTGGCATACATCGAGAAAGATATATTTCGGAATGTTAGCAATGAGGCTATCATGCAACGATTTCAAAACATGAAAAATAGAAGAGAAATGTTATGATCTCTCAATATGATTGTAAGTTATTTTTTTGACTTGAGTACTCGGATATATGTACTATGCTTATTTAGTCGGTGCTTGTCGAATTTATTTATTCTTACAATTGATGTTTTTTTCTTGTTATTATTATTTGGACCCCCCTCGATAAAATTCCTAGATCCGTCACTGTGCGTACTCGGTCTATCCATCATACACTTCATAAATAAATATACTATTAACCAAAGAAAATCTTTGATTAGAATAAAGATGTATAAAATTTAAAATTTAAGGTTAATAGTTTATATCAAATTTTAAATCTCACTAAAGAGCTATTTGGAAAAATAGGATCAAGTGTCTATATCAGTAAAGAGCAATTTGGAGAAAAATATATGGACTAAAATTTGATCTATAGTATATTTTATAACAATTTTAAATATCAGTAAAGAGGAAGCAAAGTCAAAAATATAATTTATTCCAACCAATTTTTTTGTTAGGTTGTAGAACAATTTAAAAGTGTGGTTGATAGTAAGAGTTTAGGTGTAGCTTTGGACCGTGCTGCGCTCACTTGTATTGATAGGTAATGGGAATATCTATCTATTTAAATATCATTTAGAGAGACAGCACAAACTCAAAGCTGGTCGAAATCAATGTTTCTTTCTTGGGAGTTTCTTTAAAAGTCCCTAATCATAATTCTAACTTTCAAGTCAGTCCCTAGTAAAAATTCCTATTTATTTTACTCCCTACCCCCATATTCATCGTCCATTTAAATCCCTCCTATTAAAATAAATGACAAAGAAATTGATTTGTGACATCATCCCCACTTACACATTATTTTACTATTTTTCTTTACCTAAAAATCTGATTTTGGGTGGCTTCTTCTTCACTTCTCCCCTAACCCGTTTCCCTCCTTTTTTTTCTGCATCTTCTCGCCGCCGGCCTCAATTTTTTTTGTTTTTTTTCCAGCTTCATTTCGCCGGCGACACCAAATTCGGCAAGAAGAACACCGGAGGCAACAATTCCGGTGACATCGGGGCTTTTTTCGGCCAAAAGTTCTTGTTTCTCTGTCCGAAAATTCCTTTTTTTTCCGGCAACATTGTGGCTTTTTCCGGCGAAAACTTGAAGTAATAAGTAATGTATGTATTATTTGAGAAGTTTGGAGTCCAAAACTCGTCTTTAATTCATATATTATTGTTTGATTTGTGAATGATTGAATTTTGAGAGAGCACGGCAACTGTCTTGTCCATTATATCTCTAAAGAACGAAGGGGCACATCGACATCTTAATTCTGTGCCCTATCACAAACAAATAAACCAAACAAAAATTTCAAACAACAGAAACAAATACAACAACAATACATAAACTAACAGCACCATTTCAACCAAACCAGCAGCACCATTAAAGAACAAAATAGCAACACAATTAAAGAACCAAATAGCAACCAACCAATTAAAGAACCAAATATTCAAACACACAGTCACTAAACAATTAATACAAAATTTAAAAAAATAATAATAAAATTCGGAACATGCTTAACTAATTGAGCCATAATTAATACAAATTAGGAAGATGCTTAACTAATTGAGTCCTAATTCATATAAACCCTAGAAAGGAAAAGAGCCCTAATTTATCAATAAAATTCTTAATTGTTGAAATAAAAATCAAATTAAAAGTTCATTAGCATCAACCAAATCCCAAATTCTGAAAATTTTCGAATTCAAAAAAATATCCAAATTCTTGAAAAAAATCTCCAAATTTCGAATTCAAGAAAAAATTCAAAATTGTTGAAAAAAAATCCCCAAAATCACCTTGCTTACTGTTATAGACCCTAATTTCGAATTCAAGCCCTAAATTGAAAAAAATCCTAATTTTCGAATTCAACCCCTAAATTGGAAAAACCCTAAAATTATTAACAAAGCCCAAGAATCAAAAATTACCTTTGAGCTTGCTAATGCCTTCCTGGGTGTCGAGGAGGACGGTTTGCATGGAGATTTCTTTTTGGAGCCGGCCATTGCAGAGACGACGGCGAGAGACAGAGAGAAAGATGAAGATGACGATCGAGATGGTGATGAATGATGAAAGATGAGACCGAGGAGAGAGAAAGGGCAGAGACGGCGATGGCAACGAACGAACAGAGAGAAAGAGAGAGCAGAGATGGATGGCGAGCAAGGAGAGAGAGAGAGCACAGAGATGAGCGAGAGAGCACAGAGAGAAAGACAGAAAATTGATTTTTTGATAATTGAGGCAAAGTAAATGAAAAATAATAACATTACTATATATATGGGGAGTGAAATGGAAAGAGAAATTAGTGAAGAGGGAGTACGGTGGGAAAAAAATATGTTAGGGACTGACTTGGAAAATGAACAAGCATTAGGGATTTATCTCAACTTTTCCCTTTTTTCTTTTAAGTGATTACACAAATTATATTCCCCATTTGTGGGGTATCAAATATGAACCAACATACCCATATCCTTCATTACAAACTTATTATATATCGTAGGGTTGCTCAGTCGGTCGAAACCGAACAGAACCTACCAAACTTTCAATTAACTGATAATTCGGTTTGTCCATTATCATAACTGAAAACTGAACCAAAATTTACGGTTCGGTTTTAACCGAAAATCCAACAGTCGGTTCAATTCGGTTTTCGGTTAATCGCAATAAATAATTAATCTTCTCAATAAATTTTGAATTTTTAGCAGAACAAAAAATTTGATGTTATGAATAGGACATCAGCTCTGAAACAGCCGACCCAGTTGTCGCGTAAACTATCATGGTGATCGAGAGATAACACCCATGACTTCCATGAGGTTCGATGTAAACTAGAGTTTTTCTCTGAAAAACTTGATGCACTTATTTGACTTCTTTCTTTATGGGACGACAGTGGTCCGCCGGCAAGCTCGTTCTGATCTTGGACGCAGTACATTGGAATCCTGAAGGTTTTATNCACCAAAAATTTAATTTTATTTCGAACCAAAAAATAGATTGTTTATCACCTTGTTTAATCTTCTCAATAAATTCTAAATTCTCCTCAAAAGAAGATCTCGGACCCGAACCGTGACTTAGACTATGACGAAGCCAATCTTGAGTGCAAATTAATGCTTGAGCCATTTTAGGGGTCATTGAAGCTTGAAAATCATCAATCGTTGAAGCAAATCAATGCTTTTATAACTTATATGTATAAATAAAAAACATGTATAGATATGTGCATAAATCGGTTTTCGGTTCAGCTCGGTTTAACCGAACTTTGTGCACCCCTAGAATATCGTATCACTTATCAATATCAATATACACTTGGCACATATCACAAATCCTATCTCAGCAGATGAGTGAGAAACATATATATACATACAACTCATGGTAAATTGAACGGAACAAATGCCAAACAACACTTTCCTAAGACATCTTAGGCTTGTTCAATACCTTCTTGCAATAATGGGACCTCATGGCTTCTTGATTCTACACAAATTACTTCTTCACTTTCTTTGGCTTTACCCCAAATAACAGCATAGAAACCGATTACTAGTATAATGGCACCAACCACACTGCAAGAAAATCGAATTCACTTACCCCAATGTTGTTGCAAAGCAAGAAAATTGATGTTTAAGTAATTAATGAGCGCTTAGTACACGTACCTTCCGAAATAGAGAACTTCATGGAAAAATAAGACGCCTATGACGACTGATATAACAATGGTCAATGGATTGAATAGAGACACAAAAAGTGGGCCCGTCCTCGAGAGGCACCATGACATCATATAGAGCCGGAATGTTATGTTTACGATTCCCTGAATTCATTTAAGTTAGTTGATAATAAGTACTGATTTAGTGAATTTGAGAATGATTGATCATTTTCTTACCGCGTACAACACAGCAAGCAATCCTATCTGAGTTTGAAGTTTCCAAGCTGTTATATCGTTTTCGGCAATCAAACCAACTAATGTAGATTGCATGGTAACAAAGAGGCAGTAAATGGCCACTATCATCATCTCTGCAGGGTATACCTTAAGAATCCAAGTCTGCTAGGAATAACTTTTCCAGATATTAGCATATGCCCCAACCTTTTGTGCATTATAAACAGTGGATGGCTCAATATGTAAAATGTAAGATGAAAAGTGAGTTATTCTTAAATGACAACATATTTGATTATGCCTGGCTATTTATGCCGGCTTGAGCAAAATGTAACATCAAGTGTAGTTCTCAAAGTTTTCTTGTTTTTTTGGGTAGTTATTGCAACTAATCTCAATCTCTTGATATTACTAGGTTGTTAACTATTCATGCAGCATCAAACCTGAACTATAGACCATGATGCAGTTGAGAAAGCAGCACTCGCGAGCAAAATTCCTCCAACAACCCAATTTTGTTGTGATGACGAAGAATTCAAGGTTAATAATATCTTATTTATGATTGCGGGACCCTTGTAGAGAGTCACAATAGACGCCCCGAAAATAGATATAATGGTACCCAATAACTTTGAAATGCAACTTGATTTTCTCAAACTGAATTTTTCCATCCTACACAGAATATGAGAAAAAATGGTGTCATTTAATTGTATTTCTACATCTACCCTTTGTTTGACAAAATCAGATTCCCACACAATAGTATGCTGATTTCTGAAAGTTGTATGAACGAAAGTTGTATAAGTCATCAATCAAGCCTTCAAGAAAAAAAACATTTTCCCAACTACCCAGAAAACAGAACAGCTGTGATTAAAAACAAAACAAATACAGAAACAGATTGAAAATGAGTTAACAAGAATGAGGAGATGCTGCAGAAGAGATGTACTAACCTGAAAATGATGGCAAGAATATAAGTGAAACCAGGAACAAGATTCAACAACTCTGTTCCAAGTGTTGGGGAGCTATATTTGATGCCAGCATAGCTACTGATATCAGCTAAGCAACTGATACAAAATTCATAACATGTAGTTAACAAACCAAATTACTAACCGAAACAAATCATAAATCATGTACGGTGGCATTTGTCATTTGCAGACTAAGAAGAAATTGCCACCATGTTTTCCTTGTTAAATCATAAATCATAGGATTTGCCCAGATACATTTGTTGTTATAACTCATAAAGACCACTCTTTCTTATATTCGTATGGCATACTAATTAATGCAGTTTTGTGAATAATTGAAATATCCAATATCCATCCACAACTATATCTGCACTGCAATTTCAGGGAATTATATACAAAGACGAATATAGCAGTACTGCGTTTTCCCAATTTAAAAGTTAGTAATGAAATTGGAGAACGAATTTACCGACCCACACAAAGCAAGCAAGAAAATCCTGCAAAGTATTGGGAATGTGAGAGGGGGCCGTTTTGACCTGCTAAAAAAAAAGTAAAAATATCATCATCAAAACCATAACCGAGAACAAAAACCCCAAATTTAGTAGGAAACAAAGCTGTGAAGTATAAACCTGTGAAAGAGAAAGGCACAAGGAAAGAGAATGAAAGTGGCCAATGCATTGGAGTAGACAGATAAAATGAAGTTGCTGGTGCCATTGGACATGGCCATTTTGCTTATAATCATGTTTGTGGCCAAAGAGGTAACGGCCAGTAACATGCCCAAGAGGGGCAAACAACTTCCCATCCTTCCTATTTTCTTGTGATATTTCTATTGTAAACTCGTCTCTTATTAAGTGTGGGTAATGTAATCACACATTCACGATTGTACTATATTTCAGTTTATTATTTATTTTCTAATTTTCTGAGTTGGGTATGTAATGTAATGGTTTGCCACTAGTTGAATTCCCTCCGGTATGCAAGAAAGACAGATAGAGCTAGATGGCGTGCACGTGCAATGCAATGGGTAGGTGACAATTCTCTTTTTCTAATACCTAATCCATTATCCAAGAGATGACATCTCCTTTAAACGGGCTACATTAGTTTTTTTTCCGTTTATTAACAATTTTTAGTTTCAATAATTCCAACCTTTATTACTGCTTATTGTCCTCTTTAAAGACATATTTGTCATTTTCACATAAGAAAAAAAAATTTGTCTCTCTCTTACTCTCTCTTTCCAATCGTTGCCGCCGCCTCGCTGCACCTCCAAAAATTCCTCGTCATGGCCGAGGCTAGAGATTCATCATTTGCACGGCATGTTTTTTTTTTTTGTAATTAATTTTTAAAATTTTTTTTAAAAATTCTGTGCGGCCGACGCTAGCGCGAGAGGTAGGTGACGTCGTGCCGCTGACATCGGTGGTCGGCCGCTCGCTATAAACTGGCCGGCCACGCCCAAGGCCGCCGTCACCGCCGTCCAGCCATGCCCTCTCCGGCCGCCCGGCCAACCAGAATTTTTTTTAATAATTGAAATTATTTAATATGTTTAAATATTTGAAAATTGAATTGAATTAATTTTTTGATTTAGGTTAATTTAGATAAATTTTAATTTAGTAGTTATTAATAAATATGCTACTTAATAATATATTATATATATTAGTTAAATGTAATTATATTTAAATTTTGATAATAATAATAATTTTTAATAATACTAATTATTAATAGGATAATGCATCTAACTTTAGTATTTTTAGGAAGCGAATTAGTTGCAATATGTAATAAAATTGTTTGTCGAGTAATTATTAGTTTCAAAAATTATAATTAGTATTATAACATGAGTTGAAAAAATTGTATAATTTTTCAATTAATTAGTTGTATAATTATATAATCAAAAAATGTAATTATATTAATTTTGGGATTACGAATAATTACTAAAATAATATTTTTAATACTTTTTAGGAAAATAATTACTTGTAATATTTAATAATATATTTTAGGAAATAGTAATAACTAAAAATATTAATTATGATTAGTTTGTGTAAATATTATTAATAAATAGTTTATTATAATTATTTTATAATAATTAATAAATATATGAATTTAAAAAGGTTGTTTACTAATTATTAGTTTAAATTGTTGATTTAGACTGGTGGTAGACCTATGCGACTGACCACCGATCAAGAGGCTGCCGAGCATTTTGGTTCTGGACTTCGCCACACGACGAATCAGTATGTAGATGCTTCCGCTAGTCGGGCCAGAGAGGAAGATATGGTGCGCCAAATTCACATGAGACAGACTGGTCGCGCTAGACCCCTCGCTACGGTACAGATCGGTCAGCAGTCCCGCTTCCAGCAGCAAGATACGTACTATGATGAGTCGACAGCCGAGAGGCTGCAGTTCTAATAGAGTTCTGAGGACTTTGAATCTGCAGATGACCAGGACATTCTTTCTCCTCCCCCACGACAGGCCCTTGCACGACCTGCTCCTCCACATGTTGGGGGCCGTTTTGCGGGCACTGGATTCTCAGGTAAAATATTTAAGTATTTAATGTTGTTTACCATTAATTTTTTTTTATTTAACAATAGCATATCATTGATGCAATCAGTCACAATATGTCGTATATATATGTTTTATTCTAATGCAGGTACTAGTAAACGATCTAGGAGTGCACCTAAGGATGCTTGGGTCGTTACAGGCATAGTGCCCGGTGGCCCCATTGATGGGAGTGTTATCCCTAGCTTTCTAGGGCACGTAGCCTCCCGTATGTGGACTGGAGAGCTTAGAGGCATTATGGAATACCAAAACATACAGGGAGCGCACGATAAGTTGAGGATTTGGCTCTCTAATATGGCTCTCGTTCCACGCGCTTTGATAGTTCGAACTTGGCTGTCATATCTGGTGGACTTCATGCATACTCACTTGGACACTCCACTTATTTCTGCATTTGTGGAGCGCTGGCAGCCGGATACTAACTCGTTTCACCTGCCTTTTGGTGAAATGAGTATCATGCTACACGACGTTCGTGCCATTTTGAGAGTTCCTGTGAAGAGACAGATAGTTACACAGGACCCCGACACTAGCTCCTACCAGGCGTACTGCATGGAGATGCTGCAGCTGGAGAAGTGAGAGCTGATGGAGGCGTTCTGGCAGCGTGGTGCGGTAACAGTTGCCGCTATTTTGGAAGCATTTCAGGGGAAAGACCGGTTGCCTGTGGAGGAGGCTACTGCCTGGATGTGGGTGCTGCTGCTATCACCTTGTTCGTTGACAAGAGTGGTAGCAAGGTGAGTCCCAAACTCCTGTGCGAGATAATCGACAACTTGGATAGTATTGGGACTTAGTCCTTGGGCTCGGGTGCACTGGCTTACCTCTACAGACAGTTAGGTATTGCCAGCTGTTGTAGCAAATTTTTTTTTTACCGAGTACCGAATCGAAAGATTCGTTTCCCGGGTCAATCTCTCAAGGAAGGTGGTTCGGAATCTAGATTCGATGTTGATCGAACACAATAGCAAAATAAATCCTAAACACTTTAATCACGATTGGGGTTTGAGCGGTCAACTAGAAAATAACAGAATCTGCATAAAACATAAATTAACTCAAAAACATGAAACAAACAATGATAAAGAAGCTAGGGAGTCGGGGATATTTGTTTCGATTCGAAATGCAATTAACGGACAAGTGATCATTCGGTTAAAGGATTCGAAAAACCTACTCGTTCAGAGATTCATCCTCAATAACTTTTCGTAACAAGAGGATAAATGTGAACGGCAAATTCACGAGTCGTTTAACACATAGGCAATACAGTTACGAACAAGCCTATTTTATACGAGCCTAGATCGATCAACTCCTCCCCTTTCGGTTCTAAGAGTCGATTAAATTAGACTAGAAGGTGGTTAATCGACTAATCTTTAAGAATTAACAACATCAAACCCAAATGAATCATGTCCAATTGAAAATCAATTGCAAGTTGAGGTGTCACTCATCAACAACATTCAACAATCAAGTATGATAACCGAAAACCCTTTTAAAAACAACTCGCATAAATTGAAGGATCAATAAGCACGATAATCACAATCGAATTCAAAACATCATCCCCTATCCCTAGCGAATCGAATTAATTATTCATATTCAATTAACACAATCAAGCTCAACAATCACAACAATCATATTCATGGATTAAATGAATAGAAAAACTTACGATTAAAAGGGTATTGAATGTTGAATCCGAGATACGAGATTAATCCGAAGGCAATAAAGAAATCAAGATGAAAACCAAGATCAATTGTGTTTTCTCAGATGAAAATCAGGAGAAAAACGAGTTTGGGGTGCTATTTTAGGTCTGGGAACGAGTCCCAGTGCAAAGTACTCGAACAAATGAAAATCTAGCTTTTAAAATTCTGGTCGCGACCTCCGCGGCCGCAGGAAGCTCTGAGGCCGCGAGATTTCAGCTACAGAAGGGCTCCGCGGCCGCGGGATTCCTCCGCTGCCCGCGGTGAAGAAAATTGGGCTGCTGCGCGCGGCTTAATGTTTCGGGCTCGTTTAGGCTCGTCCGAACTCGGAATTGAGTTTCGTTTTTCCTACGCGTCGCTAACGAACCCCTCTATCCAATTATGCTCTCGAAACCAATTTTCCTGAAGATAAAGTTCGCCCGAAGCTCCCGACCTACACACCAAAAACGACAAAACACAAAAACAACCGAATAAATAAACGAAAAACACTTAAAGACTCAAAATGAAGGAAAACACATAATAAAACCCGAAACAGACTAAAAACGAAAGAAACGACCCAAAATGGGGGGAAAGAAAAAGCGAAACGAGCACAAAAAATGCAACAAAAATGGGACAAACAACTCCCCACACTTAAACCTTTGTTCGTCCCGAACAAAAAGAAAAGAAAACAAGACATGAGCATGAATACAGATTCAAATAAGAAGAGTTTCAAAATGTCCAAGTCAACCAGGTCGAATTCCAACGACCGTGAAACCATATGCCTCAAATATAAACTTGGCCTCGAAATGACAAACTCTCAAACACATAGATTATAATATAGGCCTCACTCATTTTCTTACATGAATATGTGATAGGTACGCTCAAAATTGGTCAATATTCAAGTTTCAACATATGCTTGCCAATCGTTTAAATTACTAGAAAACAATCAAAGCTCAAAAGATGCGAATCAAGAGGACTTCACGGGTTGTAATGTGGCTTAGGTAAAGGTATGAATATATAAGGACAAGAAGCTCAAATAGATAATCAAGGTTCTCGAGTATACTCAAGCATTCCGCTACTCATCCCGAATCAACAAGGCAAAACACTTACTACCCAACCAACATTCCACAAACAACACATAGATGCTCAGAACAAGTTGCAACATCATCACTTAACCTTATTTTTTCTTTTTCTTTTTTTATATTTTTATTTGGAGAGAAACTTTTTCCAACAAGATTGAATCAAAAGGACAACATTCTGTAGATGTGAACATTGGAGGTCATCCAAGTTTCCTACAGTAGTTTCCCAATGCTCATTGCCTGTCAAAATGAATCGACTAGTAAGAGAAGCAGAATCCATTCGATTAGTCCTGTGAACTCAAGTTTTTTTTTTTTTTTTTTTTTGGTCAAGCAATAGAAATCCAACTCCAATTCACCTCATTCAACAACGACACCATTTTCACCAATCATCACAAAATCAGTCAACAAAATACATTATATGCATGGCTAACAAGAAAAGGCTCAAGGCTCAAAGGGACTACTAGGGATAAAACTGTTTAGGGTCAAAGAACAAGGCTAAAGAGAGCTAATCAAACAAAACGCCTCAATCACTTTCGCAATTTCAAACTCTAATCGATTCCTTTCAAACAAACTCAAGGCAAGTTCTAATCATTCAAGAATATGACCAATATCTCACAAGAAAGAAGAGTAAGGATCAAAACCTCACAAGGCAAATAATATATGTCACTCAAAGCAATCAAGCAAATACCGAGGCAATGACCACACGTCCGTCATCACAACTTCCCAATTTCATCAAACATTCATCAACAAATCATAT